CCTGTGTCCACGCCCTCATTTGAAAGTTTATCTTCCTGAAAAGTGAAATCTATACCATGGATTGTTGACGTGTCATCCTCATTTGTCAGTGTTCGAAAACACATCAGAAAATTTTATTGGATGATTCAAGATACACTCCTAGGTCCAAACCTCTTCTCCTAACACTGTTTTCATGTTGGGTGACATTATGTACTCTTCTGGTTACCTCTATATAAATGTGTCTTTTCTTTCAGGGACCGCTGACCTTCAGGGATGTGGCCATACATTTCTCCCAGGAGGAATGGGAATGCCTGGACCCAGCTCAGCGGAAATTGTACCTGGATGTGATGGTGGAGCACTGCAGCAACCTGGCCTCCCTGGGTGAGGATGACTTCCTTCCTGAGTTCCTATGCAGGGATTTTGTTCCTTTTTTTATTTTTAACTAGAGGCCCGGTGCACAAATTCATGCACCAGTGGGGTCCCTCACTGACATCCCCCACGGGCTTCTAGATTGCAAGAAGGCACAGGCCTGCCGAGGGACCCCACCAGTGCATGATCTGGGCTGAGGAAAGATCTGGGCTGAGGAAAGCCCTGGTGGTCAGTTCAACCGGGGAGGGACCACAGGAGTGCTCCAGGGTGTATCTGCCTGTCTCGCTCAGTTCTAATCAGTGGAACCCCAACAGCAAGGTAACCTACCAGTTGGAGCATCTGCCCCCTGGTGGTCAGTTCTCGTCATAGCGAGCAGTTGAGCTGCCTTAGCATATCATTAGCATATTAGGCTTTTATTTTGTAGGATATCTTTAGCGGGCTTCTGCTTTCTAGGGTAGATTCTTACTCTCTGTGTTGTGTACCTAATCTCTCAAAACTTCCATCTTGCAGAATCTCTCATGTATTAAACCACTACTTCCTTATTTGCTTTAAAAGGAAGGCTTGCTTGTAACTACTTTTTTTTTTTTAACATAGATTACATTAGATTACTCACCTGAGGGAAATCCTGTACTATCTGTCTCTCTGTGACTTGTGTGCTTTAGTTAAAAAGTGTCATCCATGTTTCTCTTTGTGGTATCAGGTGATAATAACTATTTTTTGACAGGATATTATTGCATTATATATATAGGGTAAATTTTACTCATTCATTCAACTATCCATGGACATTTGAGTTACTTCCATCTAATGCGTGCTTTTCTGAATAGCATTGTAATGGACAATGTGTAAATGTCTCTTGCAGATCCTCTGTGAATATTTTTCAATATGTACCTAGAAGTAAGATGGCAGCCAGCAGTATTTTATACTTTACAGCATACAAATCGTGCACCTTTTGCATAAAGTAAACTATTATTTCATTTCTCTTTATACTGTTATTCATGTAATTGCACACTTTAATTTGTTATTTTGTACTAATTTCTGTTACGGTACCAGAACACAGCTAGCTTTGTGGGTTGGCTTTATATACCATGTTTTGAGAAATTCATTGGATTTATATATATTTTTAGAAATATGTAGTCTGTGATTTGTAACACACAATTCTGTGACCTATTAACAGAGATCATTTTATTATTTTCTATTTTTGTTGTGATCATGGGAGTTACTTAAAATATTTTTTAAAAATATATTTTATTGATTTTTTACAGAGAGGAAGGGAGAGAGACAGAGAGTCAGAAACATCGATGAGAGAGAAACATCAATCAGCCGCCTCCTGCACATCCCCCACTGGGGATGTGCCCGCAACCCAGGTACATGCCCTTGACCGGAATCGAACCTGGGACCTTCCAGTCCGCAGGCTCACGCTCTATCCACTGAGCCAAACCGGTTTCAGCTAAAAAATACATTTTTTGAGAAGTTATTTTTTCATATGCTTTTAGGATTGTATTCTGGGATTCATGATATTTTCATGTTTGGTTTTTTGTTTTGTGGGTTTTTTTTTTACCTGTTCTCATGTTTATATTCTATTCTACTTATAATTCACTGAGCTGCTTGTATTTGAATGTCTCTTTCTCTAATTGTCCTGACCTTCAACTGTTAATTTTTTATATAAGCTGTGTAATCCTTTTCACTATTCTCTCTTTATGGAGTCCCCTTGTAGGTTGATTTGTTAGTGTCTTAGGAGTCCCTTAGGTTCCTTAGGTTAGAACCTTAGGAGTCCCTTAGGTTCCCTTCATATTTTCACATATTTGCTACTTTCCCTGAATCAACATTTTTAATAAATTATGTACAAATTCTTTGATTTTTTATTTTGATTTTTTAAATAGTCTGTATTGATTTCAGAGAGGAAAGTACATGGAAAGATAGAAACATCAATGAAGAGAGAGAATCCTCAATCGGCTGCTTCCTGCACGATTGGGATTGAGCCTTCAACTAGGCCTATGCCCTGACCTAAAACCAAACCATGATCTCTTGTTTCATAGGTCGTAGCTCATTCACTGAGCCACCGCTGCCAGGCCAAGTTTATAATGTATTTCGTTGATGATCCTACTGTACTATTTAACTTGGGTATTATGTTTTTCAGTTTGCATTTAACTGGGGGCAGGGGGCATTAGCCCATTCAGGTAATTAATATATTGCCATTATTGTATTTGGTTATATAATATTTTGGTGAGATTATATAGTTGTATTTTATTTTCTACTTTTTGGTTTTGAGATACTTCTTTTTAATTTTTCTTCAGGTAATTAATATATTGCCATTATTGTATTGCCCATTTGATTACATTTATTATGTGTTTCTGATGGCATACTTTCTATTTCTTTGCATGACTTGATATCTTTTTAAAAATTAATTATTTATTTAAAATATATTTTTATTGATTTCAGAGAGGAAGGGAGAGGAAGAGAGTGATAAAAACATCAATGATGAGAGAGAATCACTGACTGGTTGCCTCCTGCACGCCCCACACTGGGTGCTGCCTCCTGCATGTCCCTCACGGGGAATTGAGCCCTGCAACCCAGGATGTGCCCTTGACTGGAATCAAACCCGGGACCCTTTGGTCCATGGGCCGCCGCTCTTTTCAACTGAGTCAAAGTAGCCAGAGCATGACTTGATATCTTTTGTTGAGATTCAGAAGTAGTCTTTTGAACAGGCTACTACAGGAAACTCATCATGTACTGCCATCCTGTTCCCACTCTGTGTCATGCACAACAGACATTTGTTCTTCAGGATGCTTCATAACAGAGAGATCATTGAACACTCACTTCCCTCATGTCTCTCTCTCTCCACTGAAGAAACTGGGAGGTGGGGGTGTTTTGGTAATATTGCCATTGTGTGTCAGGGGGTTTGAGCAGGTATCATTGGCAGATATAAGCAACTCTTTGTCCCTCTTTGATGGGACTTTTACTCATTGTACCTATCTTGAGCTTTCTTTGAATCCTTCACGTGCATTTGGAGTACTCAAAAATGTCATTTGTCCTATACTTGCTGGTAATTTCGAAGTGCACTCATCTGATTGTCAAAATTAAGAATTTGTTTTCTTTTTCCCAGCTATTGCATCTGAAGATAACCAGGGCTTTTTGCTAAAGCCCACACTTCAATATTTATCCTCTGAAATTATACTGGTAAGATATAAAAGGTGTGCTTTTGATAATGTACACTTAATGAAAGCCTTGGAATTTGAGGAAGAATGTGATGAGAAAGAGGGGATGTAAATATAAACCGAACTAACCTGGCACGGTTATTCATAATACAATTCTTGTGAACTAAAGAAGTCAAATGTACTATGCATTTGAGAAACTTCCCACTTAAAACTCAGTTACATTGGCAGATCAGTTTGTTTCTGCACCTGATGGTTGAAAACAAGTTTTTACTGTTGTGTGTCCTTAGAAAGGAAATCTGGAAAACTAGGAGCTAACACAGTCTTTGCTGTGAATAATGATTAGAATTGTTTAAAATGTAGGGTGGGATTAAACTTTCAGTCATTCATTTCTAAAATTTAGATATTTATAATGTTCCTATAAAAGTAAAATCTCCTCAATTTGTCAATCTTATTACTTTTAAATATATATATTTTGATTTCTGAGAGGAAGCGAGAGGGAGAAAGAGAAATA